TCTCGACATTCTTGGAGGTTCAACCTCAATTGATTCATGTTCACTAGTTGATATTGCCATTAATTAAATGTGGCTTGTATTACGCTTTCGCTATCGAACAATATGTGATATTTAATTTGATTTTGACTTTGGCATCTTGTTTTTCCTAGTCTTTTGAGACCATCTCTAATAATTATGGATAATCCCTTATTTGACTTCGACACCATTCATAAATTCACTATAAACTTTGTTATGTCGCATGCATTGTGACGATTTGATTCTAGGTACTTCGAGCTACTAATCACCTATGGGGGTACCATAGGCACATCATTGTGGCACGGATGGCGTGACACTAACCGTGGCGGTATATTTTATTCATGGCATCTCCTCTTTTGTGCTCTTGTGAGAGCTGGTTTTGGTGTGATTGATATGTTGTTTAGGAGGCGTATGAGTCTGTCCTAGTACATGTGATTTGTTTGTAGGGTGGATGTTGGTATAGTGTCCAACGCACATCTTACATTTAATTAGTAAGTGTGGATCTGCAGTCCAACGTACAAGCATATGGACTTATGTTTGACACTTGTCCCACAGATTGATATGCAAGTGTATGCATTTTTGAGCTCAATTTGTCTCATCATATGTTATTCATCTTATTAGAATATTTGTTGGTTTCTTAAAGTTTTAGTAATCGTATTGTCTTACATCTTGAAATCACTCTTTGCACGTTTGTATTATCTTTTTGTGTTATATTTGTTTATCCTTGCACTGGGCGTTTGGCTCAGCCTTTCTTTTCCTTCCTCATGGCAGGTAATTAGAGGGGGTTACTAAGACTTCAAGAAGGAGAGTTGATCAGGTTCTCGATTGCAAGAGGTTATATGAGGTTTATTGCTACTTCAGTTACCATTCAATTTATTTCTATTATTTTTTTACTGAAAAACAAAAACAAAAGGTTATTTTTTCCACAATCAAATCTACAAAAATTTGTGAGGGGCTCATCTTTGTACTCATTCAAATTCTATTGAGTGGTTCATCCTGGTTAAATATCCACTGAAAGCTTTTGAAAAACTGATCATCTTGATTTATATAAGTATTTCCATGATATATCAAAGTCCTCGAGTCTGCAAAGTTATCTTTACAATTCATATGTTATTTACGTTCAAATTAGATCTTAAAAATTCCAATCAAAGCACTCCTTGGATCGAACAACAAAAATATATAAATTTGTTATACAAAACTCATCTTAAATCAAAAACCCTTGTTCTGAAAACAAATTGAATATGGTGTACAAATCAATGAAGGATGATAAAGGGGACATCTCAAGATTGGCTATTCCAATTGATTAAAGTTTCTTGATCTTTACATAACGGGCGACAGATTTGGGTTGAGATGTGTAGATGTAGCAGGATGGATGGAGAAAGAAAGAGGGATTTAGGAGGAGAAAACAGGTGTAGTGGGCGGTGATGTAAGCTAGGGATCTATCGTTGTTGAGAACCTATGGGATTCACTTTTCATGGGGGAGAAAAGATTACCGTCTTTGTTGAGAAAGGAGGCGGTGGCGAGAAAGAAGGAGGTGGCAATTTCTAGAGGTGGGGGAAAGGTAAATGCATTGAGTTTTTTGAAAAGGTGGGATTAATGAGGTTGAAGTGGACCCTACTATTTTAGCAGCTCTGAATTAGGCGGTTTCAAATTTGTTGCCCAACATTGTATCCCAAGGAGTGGGGGTAACTTAGTAGCACTCTACTGGGGGACCCCCCACCACCACCAATTTTTGAAACATCGGGAAACGGTTATCCAAATCAAACTGGAGGTACTAGTGGGGCAACACTAGATGGGGTCGTTCATGTATGGCTTAGGAGGTTTTAGAAACAAAAGCCTCAATCATTCAGCTTACGACCGACTCTAGTTGATGCAAAAAATTGGATCGCTCACATACAAAAGATTTTTGAGGTTCTCCGATCTCCAGAAGTGCATAAGGTTAAGTTAGTGGTGCACAAACTTGAAGGATATGCTCAAAGATGGTGGGATGCGATCAAATAGGCTAAACGTAATGCATATATTGATGCCCTCTCGTAGATGGGACTCCATGAGGTGTTCTATCAGTAGTACTTCTCTACTACAGGGAAGAATGCATTTATGAAAGTACTCCATAGTTTGCCAACGGGATGATGAGTCTGTAACAGAGTATTTCGTGAGGTTCTTGAGATTGCAGGTTTTGCAGGGTCGTTAGCACTGGGACATCATTTGAGCAGGCTGAAAAGTTTTAGTCAGCAATTCATTACAGGTACGTTCCAAACTGATTAACGAGAAGTTTACTGATGTGGTGCAGGCGGCAGATGCTGCCAAGAACATTGAGATGGGGCGACAAGACTTTGTGGCATCCAAATCAAATAGTGGTAAGAAAAGAAGTCGAGATGGGCAACATATTCACCAAATGGGGCAACCAATTTAGCATCAGGGAGGTAACTATGGGAATTAGTAGGGACAAAATAGTAACAAGCGTCAAGGGCAGTAGCAAGGTCAGAATCAGGGTCAGAGATAACGTTGGAGAGTAGATCAAGTTCTCTATTGCAACAGGTTATAAGAGGTTTATTGCTATTTCAGTTGGTATTTAATTTATTTCCGTTGTTTTTAGACTAGCTTTTTGCCAAGTTTTATGTTTGGATTTAACTGATTCTTGGGAGATAGTTGAAGTTATATAATTGTAGTTTTTAATTGTTTATTGAAGACCTTTTTTTGGAGGTTTTTACATCGGTTTCATTATGTTTGAAGTAACCTCCCTTCGTTTGGAATGGGGGTGTTACATATGTCTTATGATCAAAAGAATTGTCATAATTACGTCCAAGAACCACTAAAGCACCTTTGATGCGCTTCAAAAAGGAATAAACATTTAACAAGTAATCACACAAGAACTTCACTGCAGTTCTTTCAAATATATGAGAAATATTTTTCTTTAGTTTATTGAAGCTAATAATCTCAACATGTTTCCACACACAACAATTGTCTACCTTCAACAGAGAATACTCTATAATGATGAAGGAGATTACTTATCTAAAACATGTCCTTCATAAACTAAGGGGCCGTTTACCAAACACTTACCTGGTAAGTGCTTACCGGTAAAATTTAACACTATTAGTTACTTACCGGGTAAGATTTTAGTCCATCAAAACGACATTGTATGCAACAATTCAATCGGTAAGTGCTTACTGTGGTAAGAGTCGTCGTCCTTACTTACGAGGTAAGACTCATGGTCCTTGTCTCGCTCTTACCGGGTAAGATTCTTAGTCCTTACCATATTCATGCGGTGAGGTAATGTGACTTGGTAAGCGCTTACCCGGATAAGTGTTTGGTAAATGACCCCTAACTCTCAAGAAAAATCACTAAACAACACCAAATGGCTTAATGCAATGTAAGAAGAAATTGAGTCTTTGGGATCTTGTTCCACTACCTAAGCGATCGGGCCATCGGATGCTAGTGGGTGTTTAAGGTTAAGGATGATGGAAGAACAAAGATAAGGCTAGTGGCAAAGGATTTTGCTCAAAGAAAAGGCATTGAATACGATAACATCTTCGCACCGATGGTAAGACACATCTCCATAAGAGTATTGCTTTCCATATTTGATCGCAATAAGCCTTCTAAAAAGCCACTTAAACTAGCAGATCCAATGCTGCAACTTTACACGAAGTACAAACAGTCCACCCATAAGGTCTAATTAGCCTACTATTGGAATAAAACATGTAAAATTACAACTTTAGTTCCATGAAACAATAAATGAAAAATAATATAATAAAAATGACTCAAGATTGGGATAAAAGGGAAATAAGCCAACTATAAATGACGTAATGGGTATTTTAAAAAATCCTTTATATAAAAAAAAGAAGATTGTCCAAATGATGAAAAAGTTAATAGAAGATGTTAAAAAATCCTTTATATGAGCACTATTAGAAGCCTCGTCTACGTAATGGTGTATACATGACCCTATCTTGCACACTCGATAGGCATGGTGAGTCGGTTCATGTCAAATCTGGGTAACCACATCGGAAATCAGTAAAGATGATCATAAGATATTTCATATTTGAAGGGAACTCCCAAGGGCATGGTATGGCTTTGTTCTTGGTCTTGTTTAATAGATGTCGAGTGTCGCTTTCCAGCAAGCGAGACAGATGACGATTCTAGAAAACTTTATTCATGAACTAATCATTAATCCATTGAATCAATTTTCAACACATTGAAATACAAAATGCCTCATGATAACTTGTTTAGAAATACAATATGTTGGTGTTTAACGTGGTGTTGTATAGTTCACTTCACCGGAGACGGTGAATGACAACTGAGGTGAGGAAGAAAGGTAGTCGGAGTAGACAAGAGTCGTGGCTCTGCTCAGTTGCCAAGGGTGCAAATTGGAGAGGGGGGCATGGGCTGGTGGGGGGAGTCGAGTCATAAAAATATTTAATAAAATAAAAAATAAAAAAAGATCAAAGTACCTCTTAACGGATTAAAGTTAGCGTTCGTTAACAAAAAAGACCGATTCCAGATACTTTTATAAATGATGGTGATCATCTTCTATTTTCGAAACTATATGAAATGATAAAACAGAGACAAATTATTATTTTTTTTTATTAACTTAGATATTCAACCCGCTATGCGAGCCGACTAATCCCAGGGCGACCACCTGCTTTACAGATAGCCCGGAGTCACCACATTTGAATCTTCGTGGCCACAAGAGAATTTTATTGCTATTTGGATTTGAACTTGAGACTTCCTGGTATTTTTGACTTTTAAAGCAAAGCTCAAACCAATCAAGTACCACCCTTGCGGTTAAAAAAACATAGGACAAAATCTGTAGTTTACTAAAAAGTTATATACATAAATGTTTAAATAGCAAGTATTTACAATCACCATTTGCCAATGCTTATGTCAAAAGGTCCAAAAAGCCCTCGCTTGGGACCCTCTGTTGTGCAATCCCCAATTTCCATGTACGCAATTTAGCATTGTACGATTGGAAGATTTAAAAAACCCTAATTCCTTTTTCTTGATTTAGGGCATTTTATACGAGGTTTTTATTTGAAGGATATGCCACAGAATTCGTCTAAAAAACACGCATCGAACCAGCAGCTGGACGTCAGTGGACCCACCCCCAAATCACAGCGCACCAAAATGGTTCGATCTTCAGATGATAATGAGAAGAAGGTAAAATCTTTACTTATGTTACAGAATGCAACCATCTCCAAATTGTTAACCGTAATAGTATCATACATAATGTAGAAATGTGTTTTAACTGAAAACAGCTTTTGATTCCGTGTTTTTCATGCATTTTTGGGCAGAGTTTAACTTGATAGTTTAGTTATGCTGTGATTATGCTTCTGTTTGTTTATTCTTGCTGTAATAGCTTTTGATTCCGTGTTTTTCATGCATTTTTGGGCAGAGTTTAACTTGATCGTTTAGTTGTGTTGTGATTATGTTTCTGTTTATGTATTCATACTGGTTTTCGACATCATTTTGTCTTGATTAATATGGTTTATGGATTTCTCTGAAGATTTTCATCAGAAATTTAATTATGTTTTAATTTTATATCGTTGATGAATAATTAACTAGTTAATATATTTGAGAATTTTTTGCTTTCAGTTACATGTGAGTGATGGGTTGGGGTCACAATATGAATGAGAGGATTATATATGTTGAAATAAAGTGTTTAAACTGCATATGCTTCATGGGTTTACTCAGGATCTTAATCAAGAAGTTAAACATGGTGAAAATTGTTTTCTTTTTTCTTTTTCTGTAAGCTGTTTGCTTTTCTAGGTGATTTTGGAGAGTAGCTTATAGATATCAAGAAATTACTATTGTTGATTACATATTAATGTCTTGGTTAAGCATGTTAAAACTAGGGTTTTTTTTTCTTTTTCTTTGGTTACATGATTGTTGAAAGGTTTCTCTAGATGATAAGAAAAGATAATGTTTCTGATTATAAGTCACTGAGGTATCTTTGTGCAGAACTTGGTCAAGAAGCTTAAAGATGTTGAAATTAGTGTTCCAATTGTTTATGGTAACGTTGCATTCTGGCTCGGGAAAAAAGCAAGCGAGTGAGTGTTCTCAAGATTTTGTTTTGAAGATTGTCGTTAGGTGTTGAATAAATGCCAACTTGAAGTCTTATGATGTAACCTTTTGGTTTTAGGTACCAGTCTCACAGATGGACAGTTTATGTCAGGGGAGCAACTAACGAGGATTTGAGTGTAGTGGTAAAACGAGCCGTGTTTCAATTGCATTCCAGTTTCAATAACCCAATGCGGGTCGTGGAATCTCCCCCATTTGAGCTATCAGAGTCGGGCTGGGGTGAATTTGAAATAGCTATTACCCTTCATTTTCACAGTGATGTTTGTGACAAACCACTGCACTTGTTAGTTCCTTCCTTATTCTTTGTCTTTCACTACAGTTTTTTATATATTCATGTGTAGGCTTCAATTTCTATCCAAGACTGTTGCATCTTGAATTGTATGAATACAGTAGAATACGACCATGACTTAAAGTTGCAATGTACAAGCATTTACAGCTGTGCATAAATGTAGAGATAAATTTAGGAACCATCGCATCATTTGTGGACTTTGGTTTTGAATTCGACTTCTAGAATAGGGGTGGAACATATTTAATAGGCTGCCCCAAATTGCACCAGTCCCCTATAGTAATTACATCCTGAATTTGATGGATGCCAAACCATTCACAGATATCACCACTTGAAGTTATATCCAGAGGATGAATCTGGTTCTATGTCAGTTAAGAAACCCGTGGTTGTGGAGTCATATGATGAAATTGTTTTAGCTGAGCCATCGGAGGGTTTATTCGCACGTGTTCAGAATCATCCGGCGGTAGTTGTGCCTAGGCTGCCTGCTGGCTTTTCTCTGCCCCCTGGTGCGTTGTTTCTATCCTGTGATGGGTATTTCTCTTTGACGTCATCTTCTAAACATCCCTGGGTTTTCTTGTATTTCCAGCTGATGATGCAGACAAAAGGAAGAGGATTGATCCAAAGGATAATCCTCTTACACAGTGGTTTACAAATTTTTCGGAAGCAGATGAGCTCCTAAAACTTGCAGCAGCTCGTCAGCAGGTAACTGCAAACTTTTGATCTTTGCATGACATTTGAATCATTCGCTTGCCAGGTCATACAAAAATCATAATATCAGCTGGACCTCAAAATGATCAAGTACTTAATATTAAAGTCAAGTAGAATAGTAAACTTCACGCCAGTTATGCCTTTATTGAGGAACATCAATCGGGGTTGTTGATCAATTTTGTGTCCCTCATCGTTTGATTACTATGATTGGGAGCAATTTTTGCCCAACTTGGTCAGGGCTCATTCTAAAATGTGAAAAATCAATTGGGAATAGCGATTCAGGTTTCACAATCCATTTGTAGATACTTTGATTCATTTCTTGGGGAATTATGCTGGAAATTACATGGAAGTAGACATAAGGATATTCAAAAGTGAATGAGCTAATTTCAAATCCTCTGCAAGGTATTATCTTGTGACTAGCCAGCCCAAGTGGCACACTCTAGTGCTAAATTGTTTTAATAGGATGAGTTGATGACTATTAGTAGTATTACTATGTAGATGTTAACATCTTTGAGGCATTGGCCTGTGCTTTTAGCTATGTACGTGATAGCTATGAATCGCATGTGTTCACACAGTGGGCACAAAGTCCCCACATTGGCGGTGCAAGTGCACGCCGACACTATGATCGCTACAAGTAATAAAGTGGTATAGTACCAAGTTCGTTCCCACAGGGAATGGACTACTGAGAATCAGAGAGTTTCATGAACTTCTTAAGCACGTTGTGAATAAAAGTCAAGTTTTTGTTGGTTGAAATGCTTGAAAGACGAAATAAACTTATGATTTAAAGATGGGTATGGGTGTAAGTTTTTCTTAAGGCAACCGTAGTAACAAAATGGTCAGATACTTCGTGTATCACATAATTGTTTATAAAGATCTTGATCTCTCGAAAGTGAACCTTTATAGACTGTGCTCACAAAGTGCCCACAAAGTGTCCACCTTTGCTGATTCGTAATCTTGCCGATTTAACTAAGTTTGATATATAAAAATCAAGTCCGATTAGTATAAAGATTTATATCCAAATCTCTTTGTGATTTAAAACTCGACTAAAGTTTGAACCTTAGTAAATCATACAAAACCCGTATCTCTACGTGATTATCAAAGACTTTCTCAAATCTTTGTGCATCACTTAAGCCGTAGTTTGAACTCACCCATCTCTGGGTCTAAGGTCTAATAATAATACTTCAAAGTGATCGGCTTATCCGCGTTGAGTTTTAAGTCTCGTCTTAAGTGACCAAGCTTAAGAATTAGCAACGATGGCAACACCCAAGTGTTGCCTATTAGCCTTAAGTTTGACTCACATCCACACCCAATGAGGTGATTCGCTCATACTAGAATTGAAAAACACGGTGAATAAATACTTGGAAAATGCTTGCATTAAAATAAGATTGACAGCTTGGCCACAGAGGTTAGGCTGTGGACAACAAATTACAATATAGAAAATTGAAATACAAAAGTTAAATGCTAAAAATTAAATTTTACACTAAATCTCTATAAATGAACTCATATGATAGCTCTTGGTTGAAGATGGGATGATCCTTTAATGTTTGCACCATGCCTCTTTATATATGAAAAGTTGAGGTCTTTGTCCAATGGATGAAACATTTTTTAATCATTTTAGTACAAAAGGTGTTTTCTATTTATCCCATCTTTTAGAGATCTTCAGATCACTTCAAATCTTCAAAATGCTGTACCCATAGACCAGATAAAAGCAAAGCATTTATTTGTCCAAAAGTAGCACCGAACATGCTCAGAGTGGGCAAATACTGTCCACAGTAACGTCCTTTTTAGCACAAAAATCAATCCTTGGTAATTCATCACCTCTTAAGAACAAGTTAGACAAAATGAAAGAGATAGAAGCAAAATGGGTAAATAGAGTGCTACAAAAGCCTAGAAAAGAGTAATAAATAACTCCAAAAAATGAGAGTTATCAGTACGCTAAGGCCTTTGTCAGAGAGAAGATTGAATTAGCATGTGGTTTGATGACCTTCTCTTTCCCGTTGCTATTAGGTTTCAACCTTCTAATTGATGATGTGGTTGTTGCTAGTTAGAGCCTGGTTGTAACCAAAGGGGGAACACTTGTTATTATAAGTTTCCTTTTCTATTGTAAAGACCATTCGCCGTATTTTTGTATATCGAAATTAGTCTCATTAATCATGAAGCTTTTTAAGTTCCTATTTTAGGCAACTTCATTTTTGAAATTGTGTGATGCAAGCTATGTTTTTTGAAGTATATGATATTTATATTCGGTAAAATACTCATGCACACTTCTCACTTTTGGCGAGGTCTGAACCCTTAACGTTCTGAGCAACTAGGCTCTACAAGCAACCTGCATACCGTTGTGCCAACGACCCTTTGGTGATGCAAACTATATTCCTGGTAAGGGAATACTGATGAATGTCATAGAATCCAATTCCAAGCTTTTAGACTTTGTCATTAGTCTTATCTCTACCCTGAGGCCTTGACATGCTCTTTACTTTATCAAAGGATGCTTACCTGATGTGTTTAATAATATCTATGTAATTCCATTGCAAAGTTAATATTTGTAGTTGTCCACATTTTGAGTTATACCCATCTTTCTTTATTATCATACCCCAATAGTTGATAAAGGTATTCCATAAAGGTAGAAAGCGTAAGTGGAGCCAAACATCAAGTGACATTTTAATGTTTAATCACCTAAGCAAGGATAAGCGTGAACCATAAGTAGTTTGTGTGTGTGTATATATATATGTATATATGTGTGTATAAAGCGTCAAGCGGAACTAGGCATTTCAAGTGAAATTGTGAACTCGGGAGCTTTGGCTATTCGAGTAGACATGCTGTGGTGTTTTAGTATAGACAACAGAGAATGGTGATCTGCCCAAAGCACTAGGAATGCACAAAATCCGACAAACCGACCCAACCAAACCCAATACCTAATTGATACAAAATTTCGTCAAACCGCATCTACTGGGTCAGAGTTGGGCCAGGCCAATGAAACCCGACCAACCCGATAAACCGCATCATGCCTTCAACAGCTTTACCCTGCATATGGCAATTGCTTATATGCCCTTATTTGTAGCCATAATGCAAAACACATACACATTTTATCAGTGGCTGAGCGACGATTCAAATCACAGACAAACCTAATTCGTGATATGTTCTATGCTGATTGCTCAACATCTTCAAATCATGTTAGAGTTTCTATTTCTTAATCCAAAATCAGAGCTTAGAAAAGTGATTTGAAGATGTTGAGTAATCAATTTAATTAGCATACAATTTATTGCCTCCAGATTTACCATGCGATTGAATACAGTTCTGATTGTCTCTCCACCATTGACCCAAACATGTTTCACATTGTTCGCACTATATTTTTCATGCCACCGTCATTGATGATAACATCAGATTAACATCCTAGTATGGTGTGCGAGGGTCTCTCCTTCCCTTTTTACAAATGCAACATCCTTATGATGTAGTTGTGAAAATTTTCACCCACACTGCTATCATCCCATTCACTATCTTTTTCTTCTCCATCGGACCTGCAATATGCATCTCCGTCATCATCAGCGTTTTCCACAACATCAATATAGGTTGCTTTTCTAAGAGTGCAGTCGTTCGATTTATGTCCTGGTTTGTTACACTTGAAACACTTAAGGTAGGTTTGGCATAGGGATTAGCCGATTAGGTTGACATACTCTACAATCAAAATTAGTAATTTGCATAGGGACGTATGTATTCAATCGCTCAAAATCAAATGGTCACAACTTACAATTGGAAGGCTGATGATCTCCTTAGGCTTACACTTAATGGTATACATCAAAACAAAATGATTCCCTATCTCCAAGCTTCTATTTAACCCCTCTAACAATTACTAGCAGCTTGGTCCTCCCCCATTCATGCTAATGTGAATATGGGGTGGTTTTATTAGCTACCTTTACTGTCGAGTGAGTGGTGTTAGTTCTAGTAGACCTGGATCCTTTTTTTCCGGTTCTTGACTCTGCAATTAATCAAGACTGCTTCTGCGATTGATCAAGTCGACCTGTGTTTTGAAATTGCTTCTTTCGATTGCAATCAATTGCGTCAATCTTGAAGTCCAATTCAAGGCAACGGGATTCAAGGTGGAGCGACAACTGAAATTGGTGATCGATTGGTTTTTTGGAATTGAAATTGGTGATCGATTGGAGACTCGCAATTTGAAATTGGTGGGCGACTGTAACTGGGTGATCAATTGGCGACTAGTGTTCGATTCAAGGTGGAGGGCGACTGGAATGACCTCCGACTGGAATTGGTCATCCTTTGGTGATCGAAAGCACTTGCCTTGATTCAATCAAAGATTTGAGTCACAAATGATCAAGATCGACAAGTTTATTGGGAAGAATAATTTCAGCTTATGGCGAATTAAATGAGAGCTCTCCTAAAATAGCAAGGAATTTGGACTCCTTTGGCTGCTGAAAGACTGCAAATATGGCCGACACCGAGTTTAATCAACAAGATGAGAAGGCTCACAACACCATCTTGTTGACCTTGGCCGATGAAGTGATTTACGAGGTCACAGATGAGGAGACTGTCGTATCTTTATAGATGGAACTTGAAAGTCTTTACATGACAAAGTCTTTAACAAACAAGTTGTTAAAGCAAAGGTTATTTTCGCTTCGAATGAAGAGGGGATGCCATTGTCGGAACCAGGTCTGCACAGGAACAGAAACACACTCTAAGTACGCAAGTAAAATCAAACAGAGACTCAATGTTGGGGCAATTTTCTGGGATTTATTTCTCAACCGAATGATAAAAACTTTCTACCTGATTACAAGGAAAACTACTATTTAAAGCTGCAAAACAACTAATAAACTAGAAATGAAAATAGGGAAACAGTAAGCCACGTACTCCTAGGCTATAGGTAACCCACTACCCATTATTCTCCACCAAACTCGGTCAACTCATGACCAAGTCAGAATTACGGTTTGACACTTCTCCCCTTAATTATGATTTGTACCTTCAAGCTTCTTGACTCCTAGAAG